TATGAGAGTGAAGCTGCTCCTACTAGCTGTAAACACATGAACAAAGTGCCACAAGAGGCACTAGTAACATAACATGTACAAGAAAGAAGCAAACCCCTTCCTCGGAACGTTCCTGCCCAGTGGGAGTAAGAGACATGCAAACATTCTAATCACAGTCAATACCATTCTATATCTGCAGTCTCACAGATTTAAATCCATAGATTTAAATGACCAAAGATAAAAAATATTGGAAAAAAAGTATGCACTACACACATACAGACTTTATTTCTTGTTATTATTCCCTAAACAATACAGCATAACAACTACTTACATGGTATTTAAATTGTGTTTGATATTATAAATAATCTAGAAATGATTTAAAGTATACAAGACAATGTGTGGTAATATGCAAATACTATGAGATTCTACATAAGGGACTTGAGCATCTACAGATGCTTCATGGGGTTCTTGGAACCAATCTCCTGTAGAAACCAAAGAATAACAGGAAAGTGTACATGGCACTTACTAGGAGCCAGGCTCTGGGATTACAAACTCTGTATTTATTCAGTCATTTAAACCTTATGAAATAAGTTCTGAGGGGCTGGGGTTGTGGCTCTGCAGCAGAGTGCTTGCCTGGCACATGCGAGGCCCCAGGTTAGATCCTCAGCAACACATGAAAATAAATAAATAAAATAAAGGTACTGTGTCCAACTACAACTAAAAAAATATTTTTTTAAAAAAGAAGTTCTGCACGAAGAACTAACTTTATTCTGTATGGTGGTACAGGGATGCATAGAGGTTGAGACCCAGAGAATAGTGAATTCTGCCTGAGCTGATCCAGAAGAGCTTCATGAAGGTGATTATCAGATGAACCAGAAGTTAAGCTCATGAGGTAGAGCACAAAGGAATCAGACAGCATGTGCCAAGCACAGAAAGGTGAGACAACACAGTATGTTTCAAAAATGTAAACAGTGTAGTGAGTACAAAGGGCAAGGGATACGCTTGAAAAAGTAAGCTTCAGCCAGATCATTAAAAATTCTTTTGCTAGGAATGGGGTATGGCTCAGTGGCAGAGATCTTGCTTAGCACATCTGAGGTCTGGAGTTTGCCAGCATCACACACACACACACACACTCACACACACATATACAGAATCTTTTTTTAATATTATACTTTATGTGGTTATAATTTTTAATATATTTTTTTAGTTATACATAGACACAATATCTTTATTTTGTTTATTTATTTTTATGTGGTGCTGAGGATCGAACCAGGATCTCTCACGTGCGAGGTGAGCACTCTACCACTGAGCCACAACCCCAGCCCCATATACAGAATCTTGTCATATTTTAACGGTTTAGACTTTCTTCTCAAAGTGAGAGGGATGATAGTTAGGGGTGATATAATCAGTTTAGCATTTGCCCAGAATTGTGGTGAAAACAACATGGAAAAAAATTGGTAGGAAAAAAAAAAAGAAATTGGAAGGGTTGGTATGGAAATGAAGTGAGTGGAGTCCTCTCGGAGAAAAAAGGCAGGAGAAAGTGAAATAGAACAGAAGTCAGAATGAAAAAAAGAGGGTGGGTTTGATGGTAATGTAGAAAATAGAACTGATTAGATTTGATGATGAATTAGATTTGAAGAGAAGGAAGGACAGAGTTGAGGGTGGCCTGGGTTTTCTGACTCATGGTGCTATGAAGGGAAGTGTCCTGCACAGATTACAGAACCCAGAACAGATCATAAAAAGAAAGTTAATGGCTTCTAGTACTTAGTCTGTCACATAAGAAACTTGGAAGTCCTCACTCCCATCCTCACAATAAGGAAAAAGCTGAACAAACCGAAAATTCACAACTTTTCCTGGATCTATCAGAGAACTGCAGGTACAAGGCAAATTGCTGCCCCCAAATTAGAGATAAACAGGTAGATACAGAGAATTCCAATTTACCAGCAAAAGCCCAGGAGCAGAAACTTCTACGGAAACCAGTACCAGGGTTAGAAAAATTAAACTGTAATTGACAAATAGCTAGAGGCTCAGTGCAGACAAATTTGAGAGTTAAAAGCTCCAGGGGGTCCCCTTCTTAAGGGGGGTCCCCATGAATCTATGAGTTTTACCTCAAGAAATTTACCAGGTTCTCACAGTAAAGACTAAAGAAAATGCTCATTGGACTTCTGGCAGGGGGAGAAAGAAAGTGGCCTTTAAAAAAATTACTTTAATTTTAATTTTGAGACAGGGTCTTACTAAATTGCAGAGCTGTCCTTGAACTTTCAATTCTCCTTCTTCAGCCTTTCAAATTGCTGGGATTAGAGGCATGAGCCACCATGTCTGGCCAAAAGTGGCCATTTTGAAGTACATTAAGAACACTCTATTTTTAACAAGGTTTGTCCTCAAGAGAAACTAAGTCTTACTAACTTAGGACATAAAGAGAGCCCAATTCATCTGGGAAAAGGGAAATCCCTGCTGTAGCCTCCTAGCATTTCACATGAGGAAAGGAAACATGCAACTTCAGCTCTAGCGTTCCTGTTTGACCTGTTTGGGGCAGTAGGAAATGGGGGGTGTCAGGGACTGAGAAGCATTTGTGAAAGTCACAGCCCCAGGCACAGGCTCTAAGAAACTGAAACCTAATTATAGGATTCTAGAATGTTCCCCTCTCCATACTTTAACACCAATAAAGCTCTGTGTAATAACAGGGGAATGCAAAAGAACTGCACATCTTGGACCTTATTTAAGAAGTCTCTTGGGACTACCAAAGACAACAGGGGAGTCAATGACAAGGATGCTGGAAGAAATTTTAGCTCCTAACATCTACAACTAACAATAAACATAGCCTAACCCCTAGGCAGATAAACATAAAACACTTGACTTTCCACAAAAAAAACAAAACAACACCACCACCAAAATGACATGGCAGACTAAAAGACAAACAACAACACCCATTTGAAGAGACATAGCATAAGAATCAGACTCAGATATAGAAGAGATTCTGGAATTATCAGACGGAGAATTTAAACTATAGTCAATATGCCCCGGCTCTAATGGAAAAAATGGACAACATGCAAGAACAGAAGGGTAATGAAAACAGAGCATGGGAAATTCTAAAAAGAACCAAAAGGAGGGGCTGGGATTATGGCTCAGTGGTAGAGCACTTGCCTAGCACATGTGAGGTGCTGGGTTCGATCTTCAGCACCACATAAAAATAAACAAATAAAGGTATTGTGCCCAACTATAAAAAAATTTTTTAAAGAACCAAAAGGAAATGCTAGAAATAAAAAAAGAACTGTAATAGAAATTAAAAATGCCTTTGATGGGCTTTTTAATAGAGTGGACACAGCTGAGGAAAGAATCAGCCTGAAGAAGTGTGGATAGAATTTCCAAAGCTGAAATGCAGAGGGAAAATAATTTAAGAAGAACAGAATATCCATGCATTGTGGGATAATCACAAAAAGTGTGACATACACTAATGAAAATAGCAGAGAAGAACAGAAAAAAAATGTTTGAAACAATATGGCTGAGAATTTCCCAAAAATTAATGATACCAAAAATAGATTCAGGAGGCTCACAGAACAGCATCCAGGATAAATGTCAAACAAACAAACACAAAACAGAACCACTACCATCATATAGGCATATCATATCCACACTGCAGAAAATCAAAGACAAAAAAAAAAAATGAGGAAAGAAAGAGTAAGGGATGGGAATAGGCTGGGGAAACTTATCTACAGAAGAGTAAGGATAAGAATTACATTGGCCTTCCATTCAGAAACCATGAAAGCAGAAAAGGAGTGAAACATTTGCAGTGTTGAAGAAAAATTTCAAAACTCACCAAACCTTGAGTTCTGTATCCAAAAAATTATTCTTTAAAAGGAAATAAATACTTTCCAAAAAAGAAGTTGAGGAAATGTATTACCATTAGTCCTGTCTTGCAAGATATGTTAGAAGAAATGCTTTAGAATGAAAATTATGTAGGTCAGAAATTCAAGTCTACATAAAGGAATGGTAGAGAAGGAATAAGTGAAGTAAAAATGGGAGATGACTAGAATTTCCCGTACCCAAGAAAATAGTCAATTCAATAATGGACTGACTCAAGTTAAGTACTCAACAAAATCTGAAAGGAAATTATTTTTAAATTTTAGAACTGGATAGAGAAGAAACAGAAAAGCACAAAATATTGCATATAACCCCACCATGCAGAGAAGACCAGTTAACAATCTGATGCCTCTTTAACTTTTGCAGAACTTGGGATTGAACCCAGGGGCACTCTATCACTGCTCTACACGCAGCCCTTTTAAGACAAGGTCTTGCTAATTGAGTTGCCCATGCTCTCTGGCCTCGGATTTGCTATCCTCCAGCCTTGGCCTCCAGAGTAGCTAGGAATACAATCACGGCTTGTATTTTTTTTTGCGGTACCGCGGATTGAACCAGGGATGCTTAACAACTAATAAACTATTCCTATACCTTTTATCATTTATTTTGAGACAGGGTCTCACTAAATTGCTGAGGCTGGCCTCAAAATTGCGATTCTTCTGCCTCAGCCTCCCGGAGTCCCAGGATTACAGACGTCCGCCACTGTGCCCAGTTCATATTTTACTTCTTAAAGGCGAGCGCCCTCTTCTGTTTGGCTAAATTCTTACTGGAAGCAGCATGTCGCTGGGGAAGGTTTCGCAGGCGCTAGTTGAGGACTGAGATTTAAGCACTTGTCATTTCAACGAACGAAAATAATGGACAGAGAAGATTGCATGATCTCCGAATTAGAAAGTCGGGCCTCGGAAGTGACACGACTTTTCAGTAGGTTCTGCGAAAAAAAGCGGGAACTGGGAAGGCCCCGAGGGGCGAGGGGCGGTCACAGATGTCTCAGTGCCCAACTAAAGCACTAGCAGCCGGGGGGCGGAGCCTGAGAGAGGCCGGACCTGCGGGGGCGCGGCATTATGACGCGACGTCACACTTCCCTGTCTGGCAGACCATTGGTTCCCTTTTACCTTCCTTTTCCGGGGCAAGGGAAACTAGTCTCAGAGCCGGAAGTGAGGTACCTTCGAGTTCCAGATAGCGGTGGCGCTTAAAGCTGAGTGATCCTGGTACCATTGGAGATGCCCTGCTCCTCCATTCAGGCTCCATCCTGAGCTAGGAGAAGCCCCCAGAATTCTGGCGACCTATAGAAGAGAATTGAGTCAGATCGCAGCGTATCCGGCGCACCACGAAAGAGCCGAATCAGAGGGCCCCTGGAAACCCGCCCCCAGGAGGGGTCGGGAAGTCTCTCCAAGGTGGTAGAAGCCTGAAGGAACAGCCCTGGGGCGGAGACGGGGCCATGGCCACGCCTCCGGGGGCCGGCCCCGCTACTTTGCGCTTCGCAGCGGCAGCCAGCTGGCAAGTAGTGCGCCAACGCAGCGTGGAGCACTTTCCGAGAGTACTAGAATTTTTGGGATCCCTGCGCGCTGCTGCTCCAGGCTTGGTTCGCTACCGGCACCATGAACGCCTTTGTATGGGCCTAAAGGCCAAGGTATTGGGGCGGAACGGAAGATCTGAGAGGGCCGAAGGTTGGGGGACAGGGGGAATACCAGTTGGAAAAGAGTGGTTTGTCCCGAGTGGGTATTCTGAGCTTAGTATCCTGCAGGTGGTGGTGGAGCTGATCCTTCAGGGCCGGCCTTGGCCCCAGGTCCTGAATGCCCTGAATCATCACTTCCCAGAATCTGGACTTGTAGTACGGGACCCTAAAGCTGTGAGTAAATCTTGCAAACAAGCCCTAACTCCAGTTGCACTTAAAAGTTGCCCCTGTTGCCCTCAACTTCTCTGCCTTTCCTATCAACAGACAAAGCAGGATCTGAGGAAGATTTTGGAGGCACAGGAGACTTTTTGCCAGCAGGTGAAGCAGCTGTCAGAGGTCCCTGTAGATTTGGCTTCAAAGCTGCAGGTGAGACTGGGTAGTTTGGAGGCTGTTAGGTGGTTGTTCCTATTTTCTGTCATCCTTTTCTGACCTGCTTGTCTTTCTCCACTGTAGGAACTTAAACAAGAGTATGGGGAACCCTTTCTGGATGCCATGGAAAAGCTGTTTTTTGAATACATGTGTCAGCTGGAAAAAGCACTGCCTTCAGTGCAGACACAGCAGGTTTTGTTGGAGCAAAACACTTAAGGACAGAGTGTGGGGTGGGATTATTGTATCAAGGACTGGTTTTTATGCCTCTTTTCCTGCCCACAGCTTCAGGATGTGCTGAGTTGGATGCAGCCTGGAGTTTCTATCACCTCTTCTGTTGCCTTGAGCCAATATGGTGTGGACATGGGGTGGCCACTTCCAGGTATTAGTACCACCTGGGATAATTAGCTATTTGTGGATGTGGTATTTAGTATGACATATTTTGAGTCAGTCAACTTGAAGTTAGGTGGGCCTGAAGCATAAGGAACCTGAGCAAATTAATCTGTTACTATCTATTATTCATTTATTTCTGGTACTGGTAGTGAACCCAGGGGTGCTTAACCACTGAGCTACGTCTGCAGCCCTTTTTAAAATTTTGGGACAAGGCTTCACAAAGTTACTTAGGGCCTCACCAAGTTGCTGAGGCTGGCCTTGAACTGGTGATCTTCCTTCCTCAGCCTTCTAGGTTGCTGGAATTACAGGTATGTGCCACCATGCCCAGTTATCTATTCTCTTTATAAGAAGCCTCATTTTCTCTTTCAGAGTGCTCTGTTTCTGATTCAGTGAACCTGACAGAGATGGAACAAAATCCTCCTCTGCAACAGGCACTAGCACCCCATAGTCCTCTGCCAAAAGCCAAGCCTGGCCCTCAGGGACCAGCTTCAAGGAAGCACCCAGAACGTTTGGCAGGCCACCACTTCAATTTGGCTCCTCTGGGCCAGCGAAGAACCCGGTCCCAATGGACATCTGCTAGGGAAGGCCATAAGGAGCGTCCAATGGTCATGCTGTTCCCCTTTAGAAATTTGGGCACACCAACCCAGGTCATATCTAAATCTGACAGCAGGGAAGAGCATGGAATTCATACAGTGGACCCATCAGATGCTGTGGGCACAAGAACAGCCATCATGGGGAAGTCTAAGAGTCCATCTCAGATCCTGGGGGAAAGTGCTCTAAAGAACCCTGCTGACTTATCTGCCTCAGAGCAAAAAGAGTGAGTGTTAGCTTTGCTTCTTCCTAGTAGGACCACACTGTTTACTTACTTTTCTTTCACACTGTTCTTTGCTTGCTTCTACCTCAGGAATTGCTTGGATTGCTATATTGACCCACTGAGACTATCATTATCACCTCCTAGGGCCAAGAATCCAGGTAGGTAAGCTGAGTCAGGTTTTGCTTAGACAGTCTGTTTTCTTAGATAACTTTTCAGAAACTTTGTTCACCTAGAAGGAGTATTTTGATTCTGGTTTCCTTCCTCCAGTGTGTTCCCCATCTCTGTGCAACTCTGTCATTACCATAGGAGACTTGGTTTTGGACTCTGATGAGGAAGAAAATAGCCAGAGAGAAGGAAAGGTGAGTAGGAAGGAGCAGAAAGCTAGGGAAAAGGATGGGCAGAACAAGCCTGAAAAATCCACATGCTTCAGAATACGGAGGATTTAGGGGATGGTTTTTCGACAATAGGATCTCCTGCTCCCTTCTCTGTAGGAGTTTCTGGAAAACTATCAGAAGACAAAGTTTGACACTCTGATTCCTACCTTCTGTGAATATCTCCCCACTTCTGGCCCCAATATGGTGCCCACTGCTTCCTGTGACCACCTAGGCAGCTCTACACCCTTGTGATAGCACTGGAATGCCCTCTTCCTCCTCGGTCTTTAGGCAGTTTGGTGGGAATGAAGTGGAAACCAGGCTTGGATTGTCTGACTACATTACTAAAAACTTTGTGATGCTTGATAATTAAACTTTAGATTTGTTACAACACTCTTGATGTGAGGAAGGACTTCTGTAGGTCAGTGGATGTCATTTCTTAGACATAGAACCAGGTTTCTAGAGTTGGAAGAATCCCTACCATTTTACTTCCCTTAGAAAGTGTTATTCAGATGTGCCCAGAAGTTGAGAGCCTGGAAGAGAAATGTCTTTTTATTGTTCTGAAAATATATGCCTAATGCTGGAATATATTTTATAAACTCTCATGCTGCCAATTCACCTGGGGGTGGTGGCGCTAGAATGAAAACACTTCGTGGGAATAATACTTACTGTCTTTAATACCACTGGGTCAATGCTAATCACTACCTTCCTACTTTGAAGCAACACCTAGATGTCAGCCTTGTGCAGAAAGCTTTAGCATCTCTTTTATAGTTAGTGAGACCTCTTTTTATTGAGTTATCTCAAATATAAACTTCTGAGCTTTTTAGATATTTAAAGATTTCATTTAATGAAGCTGATTAATAAGACATAATTCCAAAAGCCTGCCCCATCCAGACCAAGGCCATATAGAACATTTATGATTTAATCAGTATCTTTTCATCTTCAGGATGCTGGGTCCCCAGATACCCATTCAATTATCTTACTTCATTTTCAGACTGTATTCTTCCTCACTTCCTCCCCAGTAAGTGCTCTGGGCATCTTGTGTGTACAAACAGAGAAGTATAGCGTTATTACAGGAGCTCTCAGGAGGAAGACAATGGGAACTGTTAAATGCACTGCCACAGTAGTTAGAATGGGTGAGAAACCCATTTGGGAGACCCTTTTGCGAAGTATTGGTGCCTTGAGCGGGCAGAAATACTCAGGTCTAGTGTGCATCACTGAAGATTGGATTCACCTGCTGGGTGACTCGGATGAAAGTAGTTCTCCGGCTCAACTCCTTTAGCTTAGCTGCTCCCACATAGGTGCATGTAGATCGGATCCCTCCTAGGATGTCACGAATGGTATGCTCCACATCCCCTTTAAAGGGGACTTCTACTGTCTTTCCCTCTGAGGCCCTTGAAATAGGAAAAAAAGTTATTACCTTCTTATTCTAGATTCCTTAAGCTCAATGACTCTTCTGTCTCTATAACACCATGTCACCATTTTTCCTCCTAAGAATTATATCATCCATTTTCCAGCAGCCATGAGCTCTGCCACCATACTATGCAGTCACATTCTCCAAGAACCCTCAGCTTCTGGTCCTCCACACATACCTGTACTCTGCCACGCCACCAGCGTACTTCTTCATGGCCATTTCAGAACTCATTCCATAGAAGAGTTTGTACTTCTTGCCATCTCTCTCAATGAGGTCACCACCTGACTCACTGTGCCCAGCCAGCATGCCACCGAGCATCACAAAGTCAGCCCCTGCCCCTGCCAAAATCAAAGAGGTAGGAAAGAGATTCCTCTGGCCAGGATGCCCACATGGCCCCCCTTCAAAAGCAACTCATGCCAAATTCTCAGTCCTGACAATGTCTCCAGCATCTTCCCAGCACTGTTTTTCTCTCTGACCCATATCCACAAAGGCCTGCTTTGACCTAGTTTATTCCTCTGGGCCTGATTTCCTCAAGATTTTTTAAATAGCCTCTGGAGATTCCCTGCCCAACTTCTGCTTTCACTGTCTTCTCATCATTTTGTTTTGTTGCTTCCATCTGAGTAAAACATCATGTCTCCCAAGAATAGTAGTCTCATTTTAATGTGAAGAAGAAAAGCAGAAAATGCAGGCTTATAGTCCCATTCTTCAGAGTCAGTGGCTCAGGAATTTACAGATGGCCCTGGCTCACACTTGGAGCATCTAAATTAGTCTCAGGATTTCTCCTGCTGGCTTACCCCAGGCGACACCACAGGCTTCAGGGTCACTACTTCATATTATGAGAGAATCTGAATGGCTTCCTGAGTCTCTCCTACCCTGACCCTAGATCCTGAGAGGTAATATATCCTCTTCTACAGGATCCTTCTTCTGTGCCCTCCCTAACTCCTTACCAAAAGCTTTGGCCACATCCCCAGGGCAGCTGCAACCTCCATCCTGCAAAATAAAGAGCACAGTGAACAGACAGCATGGATTTTCTAAGCGCTCTCAGCGATGTCCCAACAGTCCACTTCAAAACTGACATGCACTCAAGAGTCCTGACCCATATCTACTAGAGCCTCCATACTGCAGAAAACCTATTGGCAGCCTCATACCCTGAGACTTTGGGCCTTACTGAAATGATGTGGCCTTTTAGGCCATGAGCAGCATCTGCACACTCCATCACTGCACTGAGCTGTGGATACCCCACTCCAGTTTTCTTCCGGGTTGTACACACAGAACCTAGGAAGAACATGCCAAAGGTGAGAGTGAATTCACTCTGTGAATTTGCCACTGAAGGTGAGAGTGAATTCACTCTGTGAATTGGCCTCAATGAAATAGCTTACCTGGCCCAATTCCCACTTTGATGATGTCAGCCCCAGAGAGGATCAACTCTTCCACCATCTCTCCTGTTACCACATTCCCTGCCTGGGACAGAGCAGTCAAAATAAGAACATCCTTATGGTCAGAAATGGACACAAGCTTATTTGCTCCTAGATGGCATGCCTGGACTATGACTTCATATTATGAGAGACTAATACAAAGAAAGGATACCTAGGTTCCCTATGTTGGGACCTCTGAGGGCTTCTACGCTAGCTACTTCAAAGGACCCTGCTCTCTATACTAAGCTAGCTAGATAGGGAGCAATGGTGGAAACTGGTGTCACTGTTGAAATGAGGGTAAAGCCAGGGTTCAGGATGCACTTTACTATCTCAGGCAGCAAGGTGGTATGACCCACAGGGGAGAAGTGAGATGGCATGAAGAAGTGTTCAGTGCAGCAAAAGAAATTACTAGATCAAACTCAGATCTGACTTAAGAGTAGATTTATCTCCAACATACCCTGTTCTGTCATAGAACCTCTCTGGCTTCAGGGAAAGGGGAAGACATGGTAATGTAGGCTAAATACTCCTCCCAACTGTATTTGCTTTTGATGGTCAGCAGAGACCTTCAATGCTATGAAAGAAATGGGTTCTTGTCATCCCCTCCACAAGCTTGTAAAAAAATTAAACATTATTTCCTGTGATACCTTTTATGTGATTGTCCATTTCAATGGGCAGATGTATATGTACCAGAGTAATGTACAATGCATACATGTTCCATCATGGTTTTGTGAGTGATATCAAGGACACTGGATTTACAAAAACTAAATCAAGGATTGGAGATATTGCACTGCTAATAAACATTTTAGACTTGGAATCATGGTATAATCAATCACCCAGTAATGTTATGTGGACTCGAAATAGCATAATGTAACAGAAAAATGAATTGATGTAACAAATGAAGTGTTAAGAAAAAGAGAGGAAGGTAACAACTACAGGATAATAAAAACATACCATGATGGTGTGTTGAGGGAAGCGCTTCCGTACATCCTTTACAAATTCAACAAAGTGTTCAGAGTAGCCATTTGCCACATCTAGGCATATATATTTCACCTGGGGAATAGCTTCCAGGATCTGTTCCAGTTGCTCAAAGTCAGAAGAGCCTGTCCCTGAACTGGCAGCCAGATACTGTAGAAGAAACACGGTCATTGACATGAGAAGCATTAGACTAGCCTGTGACATTATATTATCAGAGATGATCTAGTGACCAAAGGGGTAAAGGGTGAGGGTTGGTTCCTGGCAGCCAAAAATGGTTCCCTGGAAAATGGACAAGGAAGGGAGCAAGAGGGGCCCAGTGTTACCTGAAGACAATCAGGATTCTGGCCAGCAAACTCTTGCCACTGATGAAGACTGTAATGTTTATGGACAGCAGTGAAGAGGGAGAACTGGGAAGAGAAGCATTCAGAAAGGAGAAAACATTATCAGGATCTTTTTCTCTAAAAATAGATCTTTATACTCTTCTGAGAGAAAAAAACAATTGGAGTTTGGAAGGAAAACAAGTTCTTGGCTGAGCTGGGATTTGAGTTTGACCATTATTATCCCTACAAATTCCAGTAGGGCTTTTTCAACATGAAACTAGTATTTAATTATTCCTACTAAAGTACTGAGTCATCTGGATTTCACCAGCTAGCATATACATTGCTTTTGACCTAAAAGGTGAGAAAGACAAGCTCTTGGTGTAAGGGGACAAGTAGGAGATACGTAGGAACCATGAAGAGGCTAGATGGAGCCAGTGATTGTCTGCGTTTACACAGTCCCTCCTCCTAAGTACTCTAGTACTAAATCTGTCTTTAGTATCTTCTGATTCACTTGCCAGCAGTAATTCAGTGAGTACAGATGCCCACAAAAAGTAAAGCCTTAAGCTTAGTGGAGCTGTTAAGGGGCCATACCATCCTTTATTTCTTCAGGAGTAAGGACAAGTATTCTTTGATGGGGACATAGACAAGAAAAGTCTATTTCAGTCAACCAAGTTGTAAGACAATGACTTATCAGGTTTATATTCTCTAGCTCAACAAATGACAATGTCCCAGTACTTTGAGAAAGCCATTCAAAAGCCACCGTGGCCAGGCTCATGCCTGTAATCCCAGCTACTTGGGAGACTGACTCAGTAGGATCACAAGTGCAAGGTCAGCCTGGGCAACTTGGTGAAACCCTGTCTCAATAAAATTTTTTAAATGTACTTCAATGATACAGCATGACCCTTGGGTTCAATCCCAGATACTGAGAGAAACAAAACAAAACAAAAACCACTGTACACAGTGTTTGTGCTTTAAAAGTGCAAACATGCAAACAGACATGAGACAGCACAAATCTTGCAATGCACCAGAAATGCAAGGAAGTCATGTATCAGCTAGCAGCAGAAAGTGCTATACTTAGAGATGATCATCAATACCATCTAGCTAAAATCTGGTATTAAATTCTACCTTCTCAGCAACACTGTTAATATGTTGATTAAGTTGCTCTAGGAGGTCAACATGCCTTGGAGATGCAGTGGCCTAGTGTGGCATGAATACATCTAATATATAACATAATCTAGAAAAATATGTTTGCTTGCATCCGACCTTTTCATAATTATTAGGAAACTTGGCTCTGTCTCTAAAATCTGACTTTAGTACTCATCAGCAATACTGAAAAGCCAGTCTCAACATAAAGTATTAAGACATTCTCCAACAAGGTTCATGTATTACAGCATGCTGGTTAAATCTCCAGTCAGATTTATCATTCCCCAAGTCTACTGGTCAGGGAAAGCAGACTATGGGTAACAGCAGGATTCCTAAGCAGTTAAGTTAGAAAGGCAACAAAAATAATAAAACTGCATAACTATCAATCTCAGAGAAATAACAACAGACATTCCACAAAGAGAGAGCAATTTGAAACAGGAAGATGGATTCTTTAAGGCTAACAGAACCACAATCAGCAACAAAATCCATCAACTATGGTTACGTGGATTGACCAGTAGAGTGCTTGTATTCTCAAAGTGTCCAGGTAACCTTCTCAGCTAACAAGTACAGAGGCAGGTAATACTACTGACAGGAGCAGTGTCTTCCATTTTCAAAGTGAACAACCTGCATTCAAGAAAAAAAACCACTCCATTTGGGGAATATCCCAGAAATTCCCAGGAACCTAGGACTTACAAGGAAGAAAGAAAAAAAAAAGGAGAAAAGAAAAGTAGACATAAAAGTAATAAGCTGCTTCTCCCTAGAATATTCTATTTAAGAATTTTTGAATGTTCAACCTGTATTTAGTTTCTAGACTAAACCAGTGAATGCTGAGTGTTATGAATAATGGTGTCTTTGAAGGGATGCCTGTGATTGGGAGCAGGTAACCTGGGTGGTGGGAAAAGTTGGTAAGGGTATAAAGATAAGGAAAAAAAGTTCTGTTCATTTATCAGAAAACTGGGGCAAAATTTCCCAGTGCAGGGGTGTCCACCTGTAATCCCAGAAACTGGAGTGGCTGAGACAGGAGGATTACAAATTTGAGGCCAGCTTCAGTAACTTACCAAGGTCCTAAGCAACTTAGTGAGGCAAGCTTAGTTTCTCAAAATGAAAAACAAAAAGGGCTGGGAATGTAGCTCAGTGACAATGTGTCTCTGAGTTCAATTGCTGGTACAGAAAAAAAGAAAAAAAAAGAGGGCAAAATTTAACTCTGAATCTCACTAGTTCAGATAGCCTTTATCTATTTATCTATCTATGTATCTATTTATTTATTTATTTTTGGTACCGGGGATTGAACTCAAGGGTACTCACCACTGAGCCACATCCCCAGCCCTATTTTGTATTTTATTTAGAGACAGGGTCTCGCTGAGTTGCTTAGCGCCTCGCAGTTGCTGAGGCTGGCTTTGAACTCGAGATTCTCCTATCTCAGCCTCCCAAGCCACTGGGAATACAGGCATGCACCACCACGCCCGGCTCAGACAGCCCTTTTAAATAATCAGATAATGGGGCCTTAGTACTGGAGAAAACAGTAAATAGAGCGTCCTAACTGCTATTTGCCAGAGGTAACTGAGAATGGGGAGAGGGATGCAAACGCTTCTATAGCCATTGAGGCAACTAGACACCTACCTTACAAAGAACCTTGGCCATTTCAAAGGTGCCTACAGTATCCATATTAGCAGCAATGATCGGGACGCCGTTGTACATCTGCTTTGAATTACGAAATGAAAATGATCTTGTGAGATCCACCTGCAGATGTGAACAGAAAACAGTATTTTATTCATCCGGAAAACACATTAGGACAAGGACCAGGGAGTTTTCTTGCTCCTGCTTCTGTCCAGGAGCTTAGGGTTAAAAAAGAGGAAATACAAAGCTGGCTTACCTCACTTCGAGACTTTAGGGTGCTGCGTTTTGGCCTCAAAAGAACATCCTTGAAGTCTAGTTTCACGTCATTGTCGATATGAGGCATGGCGGGGTCTGGAATCTGAGTATTGGAGGGTAGGAAGTCAGGAGGAATCTGAATCAATATTCCCTTGGGCCTTAATGTCCTGATGTGGCTGGGACAGGGTGCATCTCTCCTGGCTTAAGTCGTGGAAGGTCGGGTTATAAGGCAAGGTTTGGGCCCTGAAGCAGGTCGCCGGCACTCGTCCTGGCCTCGATGCTTCCATCTCAAGTACAGATTGTTGGGTAGAATTGGGTTGGTGAACCGGAGTGTTCACTTTACCCAGCTACTTTCCCTACCCACCCCTGCAAAGAGGAGTCAGATTTAGGGAGAAGAAATGGGAAGGTTTCAATCAACTTCCGGCATGGGGGTACTCACTTCCTGTTGCCTTGGTGTCAGTTGACCGAAACTCCCCTAGCTTAGCTACTAGCCTCGTGCAGCCCCGCTGAGCCTTGTGGGGTCACGCCAACAGGTTCCGCTAATTGCGGGTAAGACAACTAATCGAGGAATTCCACCTTCGGGGGCGGACGTGCGAGGCCTTCTGGGTAACAGAGTTCACACACTGAAGTTGCCGTTGGATCTGAGCGGCAGGAAACTACAACTTCCAGGGTGCAACGAGCAGAGCGGCTTTCTGGCATGATGGGAGAAGTAGTTCGTTTTGCCCCAGCTTTCCGCTAGCCTTGACTCCTTAAGGATTCTCAGAATTAGGAAAGCGTCATTTCTGCTACACTTAATCCGGCTGCGTTATTTTATTTACAACGCAACTGAAACGAAGCGCGGGAGCATTCTTGAGCCTTTCGGAAACCCTGTAGAAGCTGGGGGGGGGGTGTGTGGCCAGAGGGTGACCCGGAAGCAGAAGTGACTCCCACAAGCGGAGTGTTAGGAAGCGTCGGCGGCGACCGCAGCGGGAGAAGCAGCAATTTATCTGTTTGCAGCCACAATCTGGGAAGAAGATGCTAATTAAAGTGAAGGTGGGAGCACTTCCACGCTTGCCAAGACTCAGTGGTACTGGGCTGGCCGCTGCGTCTTACGGGAAAAGCGGGGAAGGAAAACCACGCCTTATCTGGAGAGTGCTGACAGCCTCGGGGCTCAGCGCGAGGGGTCATGGGAAATAGGGGGACCCCGGTGGGCTTTGAGAGCTGGAGGCTGGCCCCGCCTGACGACCCTAGGGTCTCGCTTCATTCGAACCCGCTCTGTCTAGAGAAAGTCTAGCAGCAGCTTGCCACCCCTATCCCCGGATTCTTGAGAAAAGCTCTGCCCTCCATTCTTCATGCCCAGGTTATCTGCTGCTCGCAGCCCCTAATGTAGGTTATCTCCAAGCACAGTGCTGAAACATTAGCTTGGGAAAACTGGAGGTCTCCCAAAGGCTGTAGACTATAAGCCTTTGCTGGTGATTGCCGAGATGTGTGTAAGCCGTTCTTGAGGAGCTGGGATTCAGTCGTC